CACAACCCAGGCATGTGCCCTTGACTGGAATCGAACCTGGGACCCTTCAGTCCGCAGGCTGACGCTCTATCCACTGAGCCAGACCAGCCAGGGCCCATCCACTATTTTTAAAATAGTGCCTCCCATCACCTTGAATCCTCCTCTTCCTAGCGCCCAACCCTACTGACCTGGTATCATATTTGGATGCGTGTGTCTAGTGTTGGTTTCTCCCCCTGTGACTGCGAGCTGGTGCTAGCAGTCACTTCTGCAGGTGATGGCCAGCAGCCATCAGCGGCCATCTGAATTGCAGGTAGTTATAATGAAATAAAATCTAAATCCCAGTTCTTCGGTCCCACTGGCCATGTTCAAGTGCTCCATAGCTAACCGTGACCGGGGCTTCCCTGCCGGGCAGCGCAGGATCACAGGCCGTTTCCATCACGGCAGGAAGTTGGACTGGGTGGTGCTGGCGCTGCACTAGAGGGCGGGGACCACGTGTGTCTTCTCTGCTGCTGCACCCCCAATGCCCCCGGAAGTAGTTATTGAATGAATGGGCAAAGGAATGAATGAATGAATGAAGGAGTGAACGGATGAGTGGGAGGGTGAATGAATGAATGCCCCCCCCCACCTGCCTCTCCCGAGACCCCACCTTGGCCTCAGGGTCCTTGTGGAAGAGCCCCTGGAGCACGCGCAGGGCGTCGATGACGCTGTGGTCGCGGTCCTTGCAGTAGGAGAGCAGGCGGTGCACGTCGGCCAGGACCAGAAACTGCTTGGAGATCTTGTTGGTGGTGCGCACCGGCAGGCAGGTGTTGGCCAGCAGGCGGCCGGGGCGGAAGTAGTAGGCGAACTCGATGGGGCAGGCCGGGTGCGAGTGGGTCAGCTGGCACTCTGTCACCACCAGGCGGTCCCGCAGGGGGCTCAGCTTGACGATGATGAAGGCCGGGCAGCCCGCCTCGTGGTGCCTGAGGAGGAACGACACAGCCGCCGCCGGCACATCACCCTCTGCCCTCTTCTTCCCTCTCTCTCCTTCTCATCGTTATTTTTAAAAAGTAAGAATGGGCCCTGACCGGTGTGGCTCAGTGGCTAGAGTGTTGGCCTGCAGACTGAAGGGTCCCAGGTTCGATTCCGGTCAAGGGCATGTACCTGGGTTGCAGGCACATCCCCAGTAGGAGGTGTGCAGGAGGCAGCTGATCGATGTTTCTCTCTCATCGATGTTTCTAACTCTATCCCTCTCCCTTCCTCTCTGTAAACAATCAATAAAATATATTTTAAAAAAAGTAAGAATGGTTTCAAGCATAGGGTACAGTAGAGGGCCGTAAGCATACGCCGGGTGCCTGGCTTCGGGCAAGTCACTTCTCCCACTTTCCGAGGGAGGAAACAGGCCCAGAAAAGGTGAGTCGCAGCCTCAATGCCATCGGCTAATCAGCAGCAGAGCCATGGTCTGCACCCAGAAGTCTGCGCTCTCCATGCCTCCCGTAACAGCTATCGTTTACCCAGCCGCCCTGAGTTCCTGCGCATGGTGTCACGGGAACCTCCCAACAGCCCCAGGCGGTAGGTACGGTGATAGCCCCATTTCACAGATGAGGAAACCGAGGCCTGGGCATGTGAGGTCTGTTGCCCAAGACACCCACCCAGGAACTGGGAGGAGGCCAAAGATGGGGTGAAGGCTTATTTCTGGAGATGAATGGGGGTGTATCCCGCCCGGGGCCCCATCTGCATAGAGACCCCATCCTGGGGCACCTAGCTCAAGCAGCCGGAGTCTGTGTTCTAGGGACTCTACTCTTGTCCATGGCTCCTCAACCGGGGTCTCAAACTCATGCACCTACGGGGGCCAGGCAGGCAAAGCAAGGAAGCGGCAGTGCCAAGCATGAGCAGCAGGGAGTGGGGGGGGCCAGGGGCAAACCGTCTAACTGGGGTGGCCGTCTGCCATGCGGGAACCTGGGCTCTGCCAAGCAGCCGGAGTCTGTGTTCTAGGGACTCTACTCTTGTCCATGGCTCCTCAACCGGGGTCTCAAACTCATGCACCTACGGGGGCCAGGCAGGCAAAGCAAGGAAGTGGCAGTGCCAAGCATGAGCAGCAGGCAGTGGGGGGGTCTGGGGCAAACCTGAGTGCCGATGCCCATCTAACTGGGGTGGCCGTCTGCCACGCGGGAACGTGGGCTCCGCCTCTTCCTGTGCTTCACGCGGAGCCAGAAACTAAGCTTCTATGGGGAACGTTCCCAGTTTAAAATTGGGGCCAATTGAGATACTCTTTGCCATCTGGGCGTGTTTCTTTCTCTCTCTCTCTCTCTTTTTTTAAAAAAAATATCTTTATTGATTTCAGGGAGGAAAGAGAGATAGAAATATCAATGATGAGAGAGAATCATTGA